TAAGTTGGAAGTTTAGGAATATCAAATTAAAGATTTGCAGTAAAATGTGATTATTATTATAATTATGATTTAAAAATTAGAATTTTCAATAACAATTACTGAGATTAATCACACATTCTGCTCAGATTCAGGTCAAACAACACTTACAGCACACATTTGCACTCCTTCTGGGATGACCACAGTATGTGAGAGGAAGTCTGCTGCTTTATCACAGTTAAAGTTAAACTAAACACAAGGACATGGACAAAGTTTCAAAGCTTAAATCCAGCGTTCTCTGCCTTCCATAGCTCACGGTTGTTATAACCTTTGTCAGGTGTTAACAACAAGCTGGAAAACATCTGTAGCACAGCTGTTCGGGAGTAAATGGAAAGCATTTACAGTCAAAGTGCAATTTGCGGCAACAGCCCTGTAATCATCAGGGTGATGCACAGTTTTAAACTGTGTTGGCAACTTGCTTAATCTCCAAGACCCCATATTTCTGTCTCCCACCTGTTGCCATTTTTGTTTCTTGAATAGAGTTACTTCAGAAATCATGACTCAAATGAGTTCCTGCTTGCTTACATGGGTACATCAGATATTACTCAACACCTACACAAGCTGAGAGCACACCAAGTGGATATCCATTTAGTGTCATTTCCTCTCTTACTTTCTTGTGCTTTTTTTCTCCTCTCCTCTCCTCTCCTCTCCTCTCCTCTCCTCTCCTCTCCTCTCCTTTCCTCTCCATCCACCTCCCCCTCCCTCCCCCCATGCACAGCAGAGGGGAGATTGACACAGCGTTTTCAGGCCGTGGTGTATGAGTACAGTAGCAGAGGAGGGTGCGCACAGACAGGATTACCATCAGCGAAGGAGGCAGCGGAGGACAGCAAAGGATTAAAGGAGAGACACGGCGGGGATGAAACGATGAATAAGCGATGAAGGAGTAACTAGAGGAAACTATTCAAAGAAAGGAAGAATTCACACACCTCATGAACTTAAGGACGTTGGAGCTTTGCCCTGCAGAGTGAGAGCGAACTAAAAGTACAAGCAAAAGAAAGGAAACAACTGATCATTTGCAAGGTGAGAGAAACTCATGCTCAAATGTCAATATTTAAGTATCAGAAAGATTTGCTAGAGAAACAGTTTGATAAACCGAACTTTGAATACATTTATGTGATAACTTTGCTTGTATTTTAGAACTTTGGTAACCTCTGATGACAGACATGAAGAGCAGCTTTTAGTTTTGCATGCGGACAGCGCACTGTTTCGTAGAGATCAACCCAGAATAAGCACTGCGTCAGACGTACTCAAAGCTCGGGCATCATGGAAACTGCTGTGTAGGGTTAGGTCACACTAGTCATTCACACACTGCAAATCGCTACAACCCTGTCGAAGCTTAAATGCATCACATGAAGACATATCAAGAATCATCAGGTATAAATATGCCCGAAGACAGTGATGCTGTCCACCTGTTGATCTTCTTACGCACCTGTCTTATGTTTTTATGCAATCTCATCAGAAGGGAATCATTGTTTCTGGAGCCTTCAGAAAAAGGAGAGGAACAGCCTCATTGTATCCTCCACATCTGCAGAGTAAAGTGAAGGAAAAGGGAACAAATTATCCACTGATGGCTCCACAAAGATGGAAGAAGTTGATGGGATCCTCTGACACGATCTTCATAATGATGCAAACACATTTTCTTTTGCAGAAAATGCTAAACATGTGGACAACAGTGTGCAGGAACTTTAATATAAAATAAAACTTCTTAGTTTGTATGAAGGACAAATTGATTAATTATCCTCGATTACATCACTGTGACCTAGTCTCGTCAGGCTAATAAACGCTGGTAATCCTTTAGGCCAGTTAAATTAAATAAACTGTAGTGAGACATTTTATTCCAAAAAAAAAAACTGACTACATTGTTCAGAGACATGACTTAGATATCAGACAACTAACTTTAAACGGTCAATAGACTTGAGTTGCTGCAGATGAGCAGTCACCATAGTGACCTTTCTCTATCTGCTCATGAGAATAAAGAGAAGTTAGGCGGGATCAAGGCAAATGTGAACTGTGACTAAGTGTCATTGCTGCTTTTAAAACTTTGTCGTCACTTTCAACCCGATGTGTTGCAAAATGATCATGTGGTCAGTTTGTGTAACCAGCTTGAATCGTGAACCAGAAAATACAATATGTTATGCAAAAATTAAAATAGGACAAAATAGGAAAAAAAACCCAAACAAATCTGAATTGAAGCCAAGATGGAGGATGTCTGGGATGTGAAGATAGCGTGGGAATAATTCTCTTCATGGCTACTGCTGATGCTCTGTAGGTACTGAGGTGAAACCAGGGTATGTATTGATTAGCTTTCACAGAAGAAAGAGAAGCAAAGAGAAGTGGGATGACTAACTAAAAACAGTCTTTTTGATAAGATTATCAAAGTTATTAATCAAAACCTGAATAATCAAATTCCACGACAGTGAAAACAAATGATAGTTTAAGGCAACAATTGAAAAATAGCTCCTGTCTATACAGAGTTTGAAGGTTAGCTTGTTGTATTTGAGTAGTTTTTAGTTAACTTCTAATTTTGTCTTCAGCAGAAAACATTTATATGCAATGTCATTTGCATTTGTTCACAAAGCCTTTTAAGGACACTAAAGCCACTTTCCTGTTTTCAACAATCAACGCAGGATGACCAGCGATCAAGATCCTTGTGCATGACTGCTTCATCTGAGGCTGTATCTGATATAAAGCTCTGGCATTCGCACTGGAAATATTACTTTTCTTAGTGGCTGACAATGTCGTTTATCTCATCAGGGGCCATTATCAAAAGCTTTCGGGGAAATGAACACTTGAGCATCCTAATTTCCTTCTTATCACCCAGCTCACTTACCTCTTTTTTTTTAATCTTTGCTGAGTCTAATAGCCAGAAAGTCCCCAAGTTGAGAAGCAACATGTCTGCATTTGCATGTGCAAAATGTGCTATATACAAACTACAATTCATAATTACAGCAGGGTTCCAACCAACAATTACTTCAGTATGAATGAGTCAGATAATGTCACCCTTAATCTACAATTGAATACAGTAATTAGACCAAAAATCTAAATTCAAAAGGTACGTTTGATTTTGCATGTTTAAAAAAAAGGCAAAAAAAGAACTAAATCCTCATATGTGAGGAAATGAAACCATAAACATACCCTATATTTGCACAACTCATACACAAGCTTTAACAGAGACTCTTCCTTCTTATAACGTTTTAATCTGGATTATTTTCCAGACATATGCTAAAACTGTAAAATGCAAGAAAATATGTCTTTTTGAAATTTTATCATTCATATTTTTGTGATCAGTGTGGTTCTATTGCCCTCAGTGCAGTATGAAATTATTTGGGAAATAGGCAGGCGAAAGTAAAACATCCAAACTCTGCAGGGCTCCTCTCGTCCTCATTTGTGTTTTCACTCAGTGATGCAGATCAAAAGCCTGCACTGAGTGTCACCTCTTAGCGCCCATTTAAACATATTTAAAGTCACATGTAGCTGTTGTGTTCCTGCCCTTGCACCCTTTCTCTCATTCCACCCCTCCCTCCCTCTCTGAGTCATTTTATAAGAGCACTTAATACTGTATACTGCCCCCCTCCACGCACACACACAGCTGGTGACTCTCTCCACTTCCCTCCATCCCCTAAATGCCAGAGGAGATGTGTTCCTATGGAAACTGACTTCAGAAAAAAAGTCCCCAGTTTTAGGTGGTGACCATTAACTGGTTTGTATTGTGTGTGTCTCATCACTGCTTCAACACTTTGGTACCTGCACTCTGCCTCTGCCAGCCCTCCTGTTCATTACAGCTTAGAAACCTTTTGCACTCGAAGGGAAACCTTAGAGCTTATACACTGCTGGCTCACTGAAACAGACACAAGCTAGGAGATCTGCAAAATCACGCTGTTAGCTGGAAGTTAGTCTGGAGGCAGACACACGCTACTTATTAAAAATTGAATCCTTGTAATCAGCACTTACAGACATTTCTCTATGTGGTTTCCAGTGAACTCTCTGGTTGATTAGGAGAAATGATTAAAGCTTCCGGCTCCGTCTTACAGACAAACAAAAATACAGTTTCATGTGACACCTGAAAATTCAAGAAAAGTCAGTGTCATTTTGCTAATTTATTCTCTTATTTTACAATATTTTGAACTAGAAATCATGTAAAAAAAATACTCAGCTCAACGCATGCATTTGATTTTGATGCCTGATATAGTGTTATATTATCGATATAAGCTACACTATAGACAGATATAGACAGTCTTGCGCTCGGGCCCCATATGTCTTAAACAAATAACTGCACAAACTTTTATTTTCAATTAAAGTTGCATAAGATACGAATAGTCTCACAAACAGCTCTCTGACATTGCAGATGTGCTAAATAGATACAAAGAAAGAGTTTAATAGTAAACGCATTGTTCAAAAAATTTCAAATGACTTGTCTGACTGGATTTCATTAAGTCTGAAAAGCTTCTGAGAAAATAAAAGCCCAATGGTGAACACAAAATGCAATTAAACTGTGTCATAGTAAGGTATGTGAGTCTTGGAGGGGTGGGAGGTAAGTTCATGCTACTATCCTTGATCTCTTGGTCTGGGCGTAGCAGTAATATAACACACTGGCTGCAATCAGGTTTGTAACATGTAATTTTGCTAGCTTGCCAAAGTATCTGTCAAACTCATTTTAGTTCATAGGCCACAGATGCCTTAATGTGATTGCAAGTGGGCTACAATATTTAAAAAAAGAGAAAAACAAACAATTTTTTTTATTGTAAAGAAGTAGAGGTGCATTTTATCAGCATTAGCGTTTGATAACAAAGCAAATGAAAACAAGCCTGGGATGTCTTGGGGAAAAAAGGCACAAGTTTTCAGTTTCAGTCCATTTTCTGTAATTAAAAAGAAAGAAAACGCTCCTTAAATTAAACAAAATATGCTGCCTTCTTCAGTGTGCGATGCCAGGCTGTGGTTGATGTGTCAGTGAGAAAACTTTAAAACTTCAGATGACTTCTTTTTGCTTTGTCTGTTACACTTATGCATCCTCATGGGAACCACATTTTAACTCACAAAACCTAACCATGCATAGACTACCATTCCTCAGATTTTCCACTCATGCATTACTATTATGCAAAATATTAAATGTGGTGAGGTTGGTTTAAAAAAGCAAGACAGCAACCATCACGTGACAATTTCTGTTGAATTTTATGCTTCTTCCAGGGGTCTCTTCAGTGGCCTGAACACCACCTGCTGTGAAGAGACCAGATGTTTGGGAGTAGGACACAGTTTGGCCTCCCACTGTGGCCCTCTACCTGTGATCACTGGTGCCATGGGAACAAGTAGAGCCAACAGGTGAGACCAGTAATATCAGCCTGATGTGAATTTACTGATGCGGACCATTGGTCTTTAAACTCATTTTACTTGGTGTTGCTGGAATTGTAGCATCTCATTATTACTGTATCAGCTCTGTTTGGGCAGCTATCTTTGAATTCTCAGCTTCATCTCATGATTTCCTGACTGTTGTGTTCACTGAAACACAACAATTTTATCCTTTTTTAATTTGAACGTTGGTTGGTTTAGAAGTATCCAACCGTCCGGTGAGAATGGGCTTGTTAATTTGGGTTGGCAGGGTGAGTCAGGACCAGCTCAGGGATATTTACAGTAAGCAGATCCTTAGAAAAGGCCAAGGCCATCCTACGCTGTCCTGACCAGCTGCACATGAAGAGCTCTCGCCTCCAGGTAGCTGCAGCAGGTCTCGCACAGTGAAGAAGGAGGTTGCCTTGATGTACTATGCACTATGTTCATTTTTCCCATTCTATGTGTAAATCAATAGTCGGACACCTTATTTTTTGAACACACAACACCTAATTTCTTTATCTTTAACTGCTTGTTGTGACTTAAATATACCAAGGCGGTTCTTATGGATTTCATTTTGTCTTACAGTTTTGTGTCTTGCGAATCAGCATGATGTTTACCCCCAGCACCAACCGCTCACATCCCCACCCAAGAAAAACAACACAGATAACATCGATTTGTCATTGTCAACATAAACTTAGCATCTCTCAAACAGAGCTCTCAAGTGTCAGTGGGTCAATGAATGATTAATAGAGTGCTAACACTCATTTACATATGATGAAGTGCCCCCACAGTACAGGCATGTCCATCCCAAAATGATTTGTCTGAATGACACTGAGTCACGTATAATCCTATAATCTGTGATGACAGCGATCCTTCTCACGCAGCTAAATTGAACTCACCTTCCTAGCAGGTAATCCTCTATGTAAAGGAGATGCTGATACACTCAGGTGAAGATGAGTTTGGTCAATTTAAGTAGACCATTTGTGACTCTGAGTTCAATATATGTTTTGTTTAATGACTGGAGTCATAAATGTTACTTGATGCTGACCTTCCAATCTGACTGGACTGAGAATGAGTAAACAAAGCAGCCAATGTCTAAGGACAAACTTTGAAAAGATCTTCAGAAACCCAGAGAACTATTTGTCAACACCCCTTCAAAAATTGGAATTGGAAATTCTGGAGCTAATTGGAAGCAACAGATAAAGAAAAGAGTTTTGCACAGTACGCCACAATCAGCTAAGAATAAAAGAAAAAAATAAAATTTTTAATCCAAGTCCCTTTTTTTCCTGACAGGTACAGCATTGTGTCTGATACTTTACCAGAGGAAGAAAGGCAAAAGATTTCTAGCTTAGGACTCCATAACGGCCACAGTTCACCCAGATTCAGACTGCCCTTGGCCTGCACCTCAGAAGGAGAAGACAGGAGGAGGTCAGGAACCTCCGCTATCGTGCCCAGCACGACGGACCAAGGAGTGATGAACAACTACAACGGAAAGGTTCTGACAAGGGGCTCCAGCCAAGTACGGAGCCGATTTGTGAAGAAAAATGGACAATGTAACGTTGTGTTCACCAACATGGAAGAAAAGGGACAGCGCTTTCTAGCTGACATCTTCACCACCTGTGTGGACATCCGCTGGAGATACCTGTTGGCTGTATTCTGCACCAGCTTTCTTGTCTCCTGGCTGTTTTTTGGTTTAATCTTTTACACTGTTGCCCTGGCACATGGGGACTTTGAAGAGCACCCTACACTGAAAAGTGATGGACTGACACCTGGAGGTCTGCACGGAGCCACATCTGGACATACAACTGGAGAGCAAGCACAAAGGATGCCCTGCATACTTCATGTTCAGGGGTTTATTGGGGCGCTCCTGTTCTCCATGGAGACCCAAACTACTATTGGTTACGGATGGCGCTGTGTTACCGAGGAGTGCCCTGTTGCTGTAATAACAGTGGTGATACAGTCCATAGTAGGCTGCATCATTGACTCTTTCATGATTGGCACCATTATGGCCAAGATGGCTCGGCCAAAGAAGAGGAACCAGACCCTCATGTTCTCCAAAAATGCTGTCATTGCGCTGCGTGATGGCAAGCTGTGCCTCATGTGGAGGGTGGGGAACCTGCGGAAGAGCCACATTGTGGAGGCTCACGTCCGTGCCCAGCTCATACGTTCGTATGTCACAGCTGAGGGCGAGTTCATCCCTTTAGAGCAGATGGACCTCAATGTGGGCTATGATGAGGGCACAGACAGGCTGTTTCTAGTATCTCCACTGGTTATAGTCCACGAGATAGACAAAGATAGCCCCTTGTATACTCTGAGCCGAGCTGATCTGGAGGCAGATGACTTTGAGGTCGTTGTGATCCTGGAAGGAATGGTGGAGGCTACAGCCATGACCACCCAGTTCCGTAGCTCCTACCTTTCCAGAGAGATCTTCTGGGGCCACAGGTTTGAGCCTGTGATCTACGAGGACCGCGACCGCTACAAGGTAGACTACGCACGCTTTCACAAGACATACGAGGTGCCGTCAACGCCCCATCTCAGCGCCAAAGAGCTGGATGAAGCTGCGAGCAGGGCTTCTTCCGCTGCTTCTCCTGCATCTGCATGCAGAGCCACAAAAGACTTGATCCCCATGTCACTCAACGCTTTCTGCTATGAGAACGAGGTGGCATTGAGCTGTGGGGAGGAAGAGGATGATATATTTGACTCTTCTCAGATTGTAGGGAAGGAGAGGGCAGAGGAGAGAAGGACTTCAGTTTCTGTTGACTTCCAAAATATGTTCCACGACAACTCGACCGTGACTTCAGGCAGTCACAATGTCATGTGTGTTCTTGACATGGACAATAACCAGATGGAGTTTGATATCTTACAGACTGCAATTCCTCTTGATCCAGTGACCTATAAGAGCGAGCAAGAGATTCAGTGAGAAGAGGGAGGGTATGGTCTCCCATGCTCCTCCTGTTTCTGGACCTGTTTTCTGCATGTCCCATACCCCTTTTGCCTTTCCAGTGTTATTTTATATTCACATTCAGTGGCTCAAAAGTAAGAAATGTTTCCTAAATAGTTTTGTGACGGAATTTCTTAGAGCTTTTGTCAAAGGTTCTTTGTGCAGAATAAGTCTGGCTTTTTAAATTTTGGCTCCTGACAGGATTTTGGCTCTTTTATTATGATTTGACAAAGGAAAGCACTGTGGCAGAAAAGCCCACGGACCTGGACTAAGAAATGTATATTTTGCATAATTAAAATGTTCTTTATCTTAACTTAATTTCTATGTGAATATAAACAATATATTTTATGGAAGAAATAGCTATTCTGATTTGAATTCTCTTCATGAAGAGAACTGAAGTTCTTCAAGTTTTATGCTCGATAAACTTCAGCCGGTTCGTGGATTTCCGTGAACATCATGCTGGCAATAGTTTCCCACATTGTCTTTTATATTCCTGCTGAAATAAGTCAGAATTTTTGACTTACAAATGTACATTGAAATGGAAAATATTTGTGCGCTGCAAATGTTGAAATTTAGAGGAGAGAATCTTCTATATAAACATTCATTCAAATATATTTCCTAAAACTGCCCTATAATAAGTTATTTAGCATACATTATTGATAAACTTTTTGATTTTGTACAGTAGCAAAAAAAATTCTAAGTGCAATCACTAAGTGTAACAGAAGATGTTTTCTGAAGAAGGTAATAAAGTTTCCTTAAGATAAACTTAGAGGGATGTCACTGGATTTAAAATCTAATGTTTAAAACATAGTTTTTAGCTTAAAGTTGATTTCTTAAAATGCTTAATTTTTATTAGTGTATCAAGACTAAAATAACTTTATCAAGTTAGCATAATGATTAAAAAGCAGAGTACACTATAAAAAATTGTGTAAAAATAAAAGGGGGAAAATGTCCTGGTAATTTTCTGCCATTACATTTTTAATGGAGGTTTGCGTATTTGGTAACTGGTAAAATTATTGTGTGATTAAAAAATACAGGAAAAAATCCTTAAAAAGTTCATATGGAAAATGATTTCATTTTAAACCAGCACATTTCACTGTATTTTTACGGATGAGGATTTCTTTCTTGGTTTGTTTCTTGTGGAGGTTGCAGGCTGTGATTACAGAATCAATACTGAGAATCGGCTTCAAAACACATTTGCTCTGTTACTGTTCGCCAAAGAAAGGTGTGGTTTTGGATAACAGTGATCCGTGTACAGGAAACAAAGGGACGGAGGCTGCTTGTGCAGCCTCAGGAAGTGCAATAAGTATTTGGATGTGGGTGGACGGGATTATTACTGATGTCTTATGAATTGTTGCAGACAAAGTTGACATGATGATTGTATGATAGATGGCATGAGAAATAAGTTTCCAATATTTACTGGGAAAGCATGCTGAGAGAGCCAAATGATATGATAGATGATAAAAGTTTACCATGGAAAATACTAAAATACCTGTAAATAAACATTATTTACTTTACTGATTGTATTGTCAAATATTTCCCATCAATTAGTTTCAGACTGAGGCCTGAACAAATATTTATAATATATTTACCCCGTGGCTTTTACATGCAGTAATCAGACTGTACCGACTACAATATTCCGTCTGATGGTTTTTATTTTATCTTATTGTTTTGTTTTGTTTATTGAGACTTTTATGAGTTTAATTTTTTTTTGCTGACTGCTAGCAGGCGTGTTTGTTTTGTATTAATGTGAATGTGTGGGAGAGAGACTGGATGTAGAAACGATGTGCATCTGAGCAACAAACAGTAAATAGCTTTAGTTTTCACAATGTTTTATTGTCAAAATTCTCAATCCAGATAACTAGGATTATACAAAGCATATGTAAAGCAACTCAACTGACAAACATACACTGCCAGCCAAAGTAAAATACTTACAATGGTTTAATGAATTCAACACTGCAGGATGACAAAATAAAAAATACAAACATAACTGACTTTTAAATAACTTACACTTTGATGTGCATATCAGTTTCATGTTTATCATCATGTTTATTCATATTTATAAATGTTTTTGACAGTACAGTGCAAGTTTTGGTGTAAATGCTTTTTGTTTGCCCTGGTACAGCTTATAAATAAGACTGAAATTACTGTATCCATAATAATTTTCTTAAACATTCATATGAAATGCATATTTAACACGTTTAAATTCAAATTTTACAATTGTGTGAGTTTGATTTGACAATGACGCCTTAAAATACGGAGGACCAAAACAGCCAAAAATATAAATGCTTGAATAATTACTTGATTAAATTAACATATTAAATGCAAATGTGCCTGATTTGGCACATTTGATGGCATATTCATTTAGTTACTGAAAGCAGGTGAGCCACCGAGATGCAATAAACAGGTAAAATTGGAGTTCTGGACTTCTGATTCTGACTTTTTTTAGTGTGGTTGTTGGTGTATTTTCTGAAATTTTACTTCATATTTATTTATTGAGACATATACATTGTCGGTTTTGGTTCTCCATATTTAAATGTCATCAGATTCTGATTAAAATGTTGTTAAATTTCTATACTTGTGTACAGATTATTTTTGACATGAACATGGGCAAAAAATACAATTTTAAGTTACTCTGAAGTTTTTTAAAAAATAAAAAAGTAAAAACACATTTTTCAAAAGGTTTTGACTGGCAGTGTATAAAAGTCTTTATGTAATGTCAGTTCTGGATTGTGTAATACCTGGCAAGAATGGGTGTTAACTTAACAAGTAAGTGTTTTGTATCCTTTCCTATAAAGTCTTCCTGCTTTGTAGAAATCAAATGATTTTCCATTCTTCCTTGGGGATTAACACACGCACTGAGCAAACTACTGTCAGACTGAAATAAGCTGAAAAGATTTTAAAAAACAAACAAACAAAAAAAACCCTGAAGTACAAAGCACTTTATTCTTTCTTGTACAATTTTTGATGTTGCAAATAAATATTTCTGTAATTATGTCTGTAATGCTGTTCTCTGCTCACACACACACACACACACACACACTCCTCTCTAGTGTATGCACTGAACTCCTCTGCACTGTTTGCCATTCCTCTCCGCAGCCACTAGATGCCTCTGCAGCCGTTTCCATCACATGAGAAGTGTATTGCTGCTTTTAAGTTGGCTCAGGACCTGCAACCTAAATTTATAATTTTGTTTTTCTTAAAGGCAAAACTATAAAAAAGAAATACATCACTGGAAAAACTGGAGTTTTTCAGATAGTTTGATGTAATGGCAGCCGATTGTTTTTTTTTTTCAAATGTCTGCCTTTTTGCACTAAAGGACATTGCCCTGGGTGTGGCATCTCACAAGGGACACCACAATAGTGCCAGAGAGCTGAAAGCATCGTCATTATAACATATCACTTGATAAACAGAGAGAAAATGTGACTCAGATTTTGATGGGTTTTGGTCTTTTTTAAACTTATTTCCTGGAAATGTGAGGTTCTTTTCATAGGATTGTTTTTTATTAACAGGGAAACTTTTATGAACCTCATTAAAGGTTTCACTGATGAGTAGACACAAATTATGTTCGAATGATTCAAAAGGTACACGCTTTAAGCTTACGGCAGCATTTCCTGCTGCATTAAAGATATCTGACCCCCCAAAAAAGCAGCTATATTTTCAAATTCAATTCAATTCAATTTTATTTATATAGCGCCAAATCACAACAAATGTCGCCTCAAGGCGCTTCATAGATACAGAGAAAAGCCCAGCAA